TAGGAATATTCATTTGAATGAATATTGTGTTTCTAATATAGTTCTAATTATCCAATAAAGAAGCAATTCAATGTACTTGAGTTAGCAGGTATTTTAGAAAAAGAATTAGAAGTTTCAGTCCAAACAGATACAATGAAAACTAAACCCACATTGCTGTTCATTATTTTACGCAGTACTCAGTTTCTTAGCTTTTCATTTCGTTTCCGAAAAAAATGGAGAAGGACTGGAATAAGATTCGTTCACATAAGCCACTGTGAACGGTGAGTATATTTTGATGAACCCAAAACGAATTTTTGAAAATATATAATGGATCAGAGATAACTTAAAGAACCTTTTCTTACAGACAATGACATGGAACTAGGAATGATTGAATAATATGAAGTAGTATCTGGGAAGCACGAACACTTAAATTTAGAAACTGGAATGTTGAGAATATTTAAAATATATTTTTGGATAAAGAGTTGAAAGAGATGGGTAAAACGATGGAAATTAATTACTTGCCACTGCGAGGAAGGACTGGTTTGTCCGTTTGTTTGTTAATGTTAAAAAATGACCGACCAAATGGTTGGCTCGCCATCCACGAGCGGGACGGAATGATTTTCCATGGTATTTGTTGATTCATTCAATGCCGGTGACTCCGAATTACCGGGTTTCAGGATCGATTCAATAGAATAAGCCTGTTGTGACGAAAACGATGGTGACGTACTCCGATTACTACTACGCATGATTACCGCAACGTTGTTTGCAATGGCTGCGTAAGCGGCTGCTGCAGCTGCCGCCTCAGTCATTGCTGACAGCCCACACTGATCAAAGACCGGCCTCTCTTGCTCGGCTCCTCTGATCTGAAAAATGCTCCGCCCGCAAAATTTGTGTGAAGAAAACGAAAAGGAATACGTACTATCATACACACGCACACACATACACACATGTATACACATACATACAGGCAGGCAGCAACGACTAGAACAGCGTCGGCGACAACACTTGAAGTTTGGAGTAGATTGAGGGGAAGCAGAGAGCAACAAGGTCCCCTAAAGTGAACGAAAATCGCTTATGGATGTACCCTAATCTGTCTTCCCTGTCCCTGCCTACGAAGAACTCCGAAATGCACCCAGCTGGTGGATAGGTAGGCTGGTCGGGAGAGGATGGCCGGTCGCCAACAAATAAGCTGTCAAATTGTAAAGTACGTAGCGAAAAGTAAAAGCGAAGTCATCCAGTTGCCTGCACCCATTCCCACTCTGGCTGCTCTTTTCTAAATAAATATGTATGTGTACATATATTTGTGTATGCATGCGTGTTTCTGTTTTCTTCTGATAAATATAAAGTTTTATATATATTATATATATATATAATCTAAAATTAACTTATCAGTACTAATGCAATAGATCTCAACCTACACAACATACGGGCGCGCGCACCTTTGGAATAGATTTCTAAATTCAGAGATTACTTACAGAGATGTTCAAAGATCATACTGCGCAATCCCCTTGTTTCATATCTCATCCGGCGGCCCAAATTTGGATTGATAGCATTAATACTACACTGTCTAATGCATGCTTTACGAAAGCACAGCTTGTCTCCTCTTAGATCAGAACAAAATTCCCAAAACAAACATTTTCCCTTCTCCCCCTCTTCCCTATCACCTTTCCAATCCTTCTGCCCCTTCGCGGTCATAAACAAATTGTGTCAGATTTTTGTTTGGTACAACAACGAAAACGCAATTCTTCCTGCACTATGCTGTTCCATGCTACCATATTTTTACTACCACTATTATCGAACTAAAAATACTACTACTGTCTGTGCCGCTAATTAGTGCAATACGTTCAGTGCCTACCCTTCCATGCTTTGTAAATTTTAAAATTTACAGCTTTAGTTGCTCTTTCCTCTCCCCTAAAAGCCACTCCCTCCCTCTCCTCGCTTCGCTTCCGCCTCTCACCCATCCATATTGCTGTTTTCATTATTTCACTATTTTTATTTATGAACATCTGTCTATTTCTCCACATTGGCTATACAATTGAAAGTATTGCGCAAATTAAAGAATATGATCGCCATGACGAAACTATCATTGTACTGCACCATGCTATGCACGAAATGTTTAGATTTCTTTCAGCAAAGATTGCAGAAAGCAACAGTATGAACCAAGGATTATTTTTTAAAAAAAGTACAGTAAGCTTCATCTCATTTTCATCCATTACTCTAATATGTGTTTTAATAAATGTCGAAATCGACAGAATTAACGATCTATTGAAGAATTGTATAAAATGCGTTATGAATTGTCCGGTCCACCATTCCAGTTTCTGAGAAGATTTGAGGATCTGACAGCTACGATGTATAAATGTTAAATCAGTTGGTCACGGATAGGTCCCCTCAAAGACACATCTCTGACCTCAATAAAATTTTCTGAGGTTTCCTTCTATCCGGTGCACGAGAACAAGCTTTGACACAATTTAGGAGGCACTTACACACAACGTAACTGAAGAAGGAGGTGCGTCTGTAATGGCAAAAAAATAAAATGACTTACTTAAATAGAGCATCATCAGTTGGTATTCCAAAAATTTTGCATAGTATCACAGAAGCACGGTCATGCAGCGGGGATTACTTCTAAGCATTCCATGTAATTGATGGAACACTCAGAACAAAAACGATTGATCTGCGAATGGCATATAGTTTTTAATGCATCCGAATTTTGGTGAATGCTAAATTGCACTTTGCAAAACATATTTCATTTTTTGTTAATCAGAAATGAAAGTGAAGAGTAACAAAACATAATTCGAGAACTGATTAATAAATAGTGATAGTAATAATTTCGTCCATGAAAAAAAAGAACACGCACACAACAACCTCATTGAAATACGTAATTCACGTCTGGAGTCATTAACGACCCTTCCGGGTACCATCTTCTTCTCTTCCTTCTTCCCTCCTTTCATCCTTCTCACGCATTTTATGAAATGTCGAGTTGGCATGGCAAGTTCTAACCGGATGCAAATAAATCATTTCCAAAAGGCTATGGTGCAAAACGCTGAATAATTGCTGTTTCCTAGTCAAAAACGTACGAATGCATGTACATACCTTCTTGATGAGTTACTGACAGACATGTGTAACGTTCAGACACAGACGCACACCAAAATATGCGTGAACATAGATACATACATACATACATACAATACACACACACACACACACAAACGCAACATAAACACATACACATACATTTTGCGGTTTTAGTTTTACACAATGATTAATCCACGACTTTATGGTTGAGGCCGAGCGGGAATGAATGCTTACGTGTGGGGTGTTAAGATTTCACGTGGTATAACATTTTTCATCAGAATTTTAGCAATGCAACAGTTAGCTTTTGAATGAATGAAAATGATCAACCATTGAACCAATGGTCTCTTTCATCTTACTAAGGTTAAGGGATACACAAAGTGTACTTGAGCCAAGCCATCTTATAAGTTACAGCGCAATTGATGCCGACGAAGGCCACACTAACTTTTCCAGGTTCAAGTTATGGACAATCAGGTCACCCAAGCAGTTTCGAAATGTTTCAGTTCCCAGTTCAACAGATTTCTTTGCACTCATCTCAAGTGTTAAGATTATGTTTAGCTTGTGCTAATTTCACGAAATGTTATTCCGGAAATTTCAGGACTTTTTCATATTGTTTCTATAATTTAAATCATGTCTTAAAGATTAAAGATAATTCACGAGCATATTTAGTAAGATTAATGAATTTTTCGGGACTGCAATCTTTTCCAATATTGATCTAACTTTTTCATCAGAGGATTTCTAATATTGGTGGAAACCGTTACTTCATCGTTTCATAGGTCATTCGTTTTGAATTTTTTTTTTCACCATTTATTTTGCAACTACTACAACTTTTGCTTAGGTGAATAATAATAGAAGTGAAATTAATAAATCGTACCATTGTCATTTTTGGTTCGTCAAATTTAAACAGTATGGCGAATAGGTGAATGAATATAGATGCAGAAGTTTAAAGAAGATTCTTCCTCAGTTCGAATCACGGCTATCCACGTTTGATTAAAGTGCAATCCTCAGAGCCAGTGATAGCAGTCGTATAACAACTACAAGTGATTATCTTGTTTATTTCCATCTCTGTTATTGTCTTCCCTTTGGTGGATGGATCTATTTAAAGCTTTCGCGCGAGGCACGAAATGAAATTTATGTTTATGCATTCCTACAGTCCAAAGATCATCTCTCTCTCACTTTCATACGCACATATATATATATACAGTGGAAGGTAACATGTATTTAGGTACAGCAACCTATAATGTTTGCTGTCTTCGCGTCAGTCTGTCTGTTGTTTATTTACATCGCCCATAATATGGGAGGGGAGGGCGGAAGGGGGAAATTAGTGAAAACAATGTCAGCTGCTTGTTTTCTGAAATTCTTGCTGAGGAATGGAGCGGTCTTTATGATTGATCGGTGAGAAGAATTGAAGAATTCTCGTGATCGTTACAGATTACCACTCATTTGGCCCAGTGCATTCCATTGTCTTATTATCATTGACAACTCTCGTTGTATGTGTTTGACGATACAGAAATAAGTGTTTAAAGTAATAAATGACGAAAATACGAAAGTTAAATGATATTAACGATGAGTTTTTTTTATCATTCATGGAGATATAAATCATCGAAGAAGTTCGGGCAATTAATTGGCCCAATATTTGTTGATGTCGTACAAGCCTGTTAGAGATTGAAAGGACTCGGATATATTGAAAATTACTTCTAGTCCGAAACTATAAGCCAATTTCCAACAGTGAATTCTCCAAGTTCAAGTAATTGAATTTTGCAAAGAATTTGTACTTTATTATTTGTACTTTATTTTGAGATGTGCATTGATAAATATTAAACTTTCTTACTCTTTGGAATTCATTATTAATATGACAATATATTTACCTTGTGAAGTGATTTCCAAAGAGTGATGACGGTTTGGTATTCAGGTGCACGAAATTTTTATTTAACTCAAGCTATACTCATACATCACGACAGGAAATGATTAAAAGACTTTGGTTGTGTTCCACAATAGGCTCCGGTTGATGCATACCCATAGCTGCCGGTTGAAATCGTTCCAGGCCAATATGGTCTCACAAAAGGACGCTTATCTGAAGTTATCGGTTGGAAAAAAGGCGTATACGATACACCAGCCGAACGCATTTTCGGCACTGCGTAATCATGTTGGAACAAGAATTGAGGGGGATGACAGCTTTTTAGTGAAGCTGAAACCGAATCTAATCAATTATTTAAAAAATCAGAAACATTTAAGTTAAGTTAGGCGGAAAAAAATTGTGATCAAAAACCAATTGTAATCAAATTGCTTTTTGAGTGACGTCTTATAATGAACTGACACTAAATATAACGAATTGACATTAAACCTTAAATATTAAGCATTTCAAATAAAAAGTAAAGTATTCAGAAAGTTGCAAGAGATTTTGGATTGCCGGTCTAATAGAAAATTTTGGAAATCACAACTTCTTGAAATCTGATTTCGTCTTATAATTTTTATGACCTTCCAACTAGCAGATTTGGCCATATGACATAAAAAACATCCTCGGCATATAGTTCTTTCGGGTTTCCAAGATATTGTTGTACTAAGACTGAGAGTTGAGTACTGAGTTGAGACTGAGAGTATTGAGAGTTTTGCACCCCTTTTATAATTACCGAATATAGAACACTTCAACAATTTTTGTACTAGAAACATCTCATATCTCTAATTTAGGAACGAAAAAAAAATGCTATACGTCGATATTGCCGTGCCGATGTTGCAACTGCTGACACCAATTCACCACCGTAGTTACTTTGACAAGTCTGTGCCAGATGACTGAAATCAAATCGGTAAGCATAACGTTTTCCGTGAACCTGAAATAATCTGATACCAATTAAAAAAATCAAAATATGGAACTTGTTTGATATATTTTTTATTCAAGCTAAAATAAGGCAACAAGACTTGAAATGACTGTTTCTGACATACATCAGTCTTTCAATAGCAATGAAAACAAAACAGACTTGGAACCAAGCTGATTTCATTGTTTTAATTATCCAAAAATTGCTGGTCATTTGCTTATCCGGTGAATGAAATCTTCCGACAGAAACGAAAAACATTTCATATGGTAAAGTGTGATGAACAAATATTTTAAAAGTAATCGAATATTTTATAAAATTCAAAAATTTTCAAAAGTAGTGCGATAAAATTGATGCTGTAACCTTTGTCATGATATTTTTATCGTAGTAGTATCGCAGAGCACGGCTAAGCTTATCATAATTCATATTTGGCTTACTGGAAAAAAAATATTGCAGATCTAAGGAAATTTTGGTGTCTTTAAATCCTTCAAATTTCCAAATTTCAATTTAAAAGGAAGGAAAAACAACGAAAACATGAAAAAAACAAAAACTGACTTCTGTTCAATATAACTGTGTAAAAGAAAATAGGATTTGTATTTCCTATAACAAACCTTTTCCTTTCGCCCCATTTTCGAGCAACTTCATCTGGATCTAACAATTTGAATTCACCATTCTGTCCTTCCCAAGTGATACAGTGCGCATTACTATGTGTATCAGAAAGTAATTCAAGGAGGAATTGCCATAATTGTATTTGACCACTTCCTGAAATTTTAAGTTGCAGAAGTTTTAAAGCATTAAATCGGACTCCCAATTTAATTATAAACTACAGTAGTGACTCGCTGCTATGCTGTGAAATTGTTATTATGCCGAATGTAATCTTTGTGATTCAAATTTTTGAAAATAGATCTGTCAATTGATAATTTCGAACTCTGTAAAGCTTCTGAAAATTTCATTTCATATACCATGCGCTTAAACCTGAAATCTGTTATTACTTAGTTGTACGGATTTTAGTAAAATCATTTGACTCCTTTCTAATATTTTCTATGATGGCATAACGTGGGAGGATCTGTGATCAATTGATTTAGTAATATAATTTTGAAAAAATGCAAAATATCGTTGAGCTTCTGTGTAGTAAGAATATTAAAGATAGCGAAATAAAGTGCTTCCGTTTGTAAGTTTTCTAAAGTTGCATGAAATGAAGCAATGGTATAGTTTCTAGAAAGCTTGATAAATTTAAATTTCAATGTAATAATTAAAATGAGATCCCTGAAATCTCATTTATAAACAATTTATGGCGATAATGGTAGTAAAATTTGATTGATGCGTTTATAAATAATGGAAATGTGTCATGCGCTTAATGGATATGTCATTACAGGAGATGGAAGCGGAAAGAGCACAATAAAAGGAGCATTTAAGCAGACAAGACTAAGTCTCTCTCACTAAGTCCGCTTACCACACCTTCGGTCTTTCATAATGGAGCTTACCTTCAATAACCTTTATTATAATCAGCTTCTTTGATGTGCAAACTCAACTGGATACCTTTCTACATCCAATTTGCGCAACTTTTCACAACCCAAAGTTTATATACATTTTAACTCTAATAGGAAACTTTTAACCTAATGGAAAAATTGGCAAATTTAATCAACAGTTAAAAATTCAATTGTTCTCTCCGACATATTTCAATAAATTCGTAAACTAAAGGAGAAAAGCTATCCAGAACACTACACTTCATTAATTTCTTGCAAATTCAAGAAAAGTATTTAACTAAACTTTTTAAATTCGCGACACTGACACGTTGATAAAAATTTCCCATGCACACATACATCCACATCACTTACTGATAAGATGTACGTGTGGAAATACATACGTATATTGCGTAGTAGAAGTTTGCGTGTGTATGTGTTGATGGAAAAATCAAGGAAATGTTATTTATAGCTGATAAAAGAACGGGTAAAAGGAAAAAATATCAATCAGCTAACAAGGAGAAGACAGCATTTCTGTGTGTTGGCAACTCCCCATGTCGTCATTAATTCGCTCGCACCGATGAACGTTTCTGTTATGTGCAGATGTTGTCACTACTGATCCTTTTGAATACGGTAACTATCGACTCTACTAACTACTACTACAAAAATGAATATCTGAATTTTCTAAAATTTTCGGATATTATCAATTTCTGGATCTTTTCAAGTTACTTCATGTTATAAAAAAAAATATTACAATTCATACGGAGAACCATGAGCTACTTCACTTGATGTTAGTTAATTTAATGATTAAAGTTACCAAGTCTTAAACATTTAAATGGAGTTGAATTAAATTTTATGATAAACTAATATCAGATTTAAAATGTTTCAGAAAATTGTTAACAAAATGCTTTAAATATAACTGAATATTTTAATAAAAAATTTGGAATTAAGGTAACTGTAGCCCATAATAATTAAATGAATCGATGTATGGATGACCAAAAATTCAAGCTTATCCGATTAGTGAAAGTGCATTTTAATTCATCAAATCAAATCATTCTACTGAACTTCAATTTCACTGAACGTCTTTTCATAGTTACACTTTTGAAAACAAATCGTCTAAAGCTGTGCATCTTCTGGAATTCCATAAAAGTTTTAACGTCTACATAAAACATAACCCATTGAATTTCATCGTAGAATGTGAATTTTGCTCATTAACAAGTTATTATTTTATAGTGCATTTATTTTAGCGCAGTAATGAATCACGTGCCAACGGATTACAAAATATACAAATTTTCAATTAAATATCAATCACAAAAAAGGAAACAAACCTGGATAAATAAAATTGCGCTGCAAGTCTGTTGAGGTAGCTGCTGGTGCTTCCAACTGTACACCACATCTGTCCTCATTCTGACCTACAATTAGCAATTTTATGTAAGAGGTAGTTTTGATTAGAATGAAAGAAGAGTGGGAACTTGTGATTCCACAACTGCTTCATAATGATAGTTAGCTAACTTGATAGAAGCCTTCAAAATGAATAATAATCCATTATAATCAAAACTTTCAACTGGTACAGAAATGATGTGAAGAGTTAACAAGTAGTGGCCAATAAATAAGTGAGCAAGTGATGGATGAAGTATTTTAACCAGAATAACATGCTTTTCAATTCGTTTAACTGGTCACCACTTCGATTTTAGAGTTCTTCAGAAATTTCTTTATAACTCTAAGCAGAATGATAAATCAGCTAGTGTCCAACAAAATAAAATATAGTTGCAGGAATTTTCACTGACATTAAAATTACACAGTTATAGATATTTTCTCAGACTAGGTAAGGACAATCTTAATCTTTAGTACCTCGAATATTTCACTACCTCATCCTCTTTCACTCTTTTACAAGCAAAAGTATGATCTCCACTACCATTTCAAACTTTCATGTGATATTCTTGTACATTCTTCGAAAATTTGAGTTAATCATTTGTTACTTATATCGAAAATCGATTCGGAATTTATCATTTAAGAAATGCAAATTTTAAAACAAAAAAAAAAAGGAAACTCCAAGTGGTAGACTGAAGCCAGGGAAAAAGGACGAATAATAGACTAAAATAATCTTTATTAAGGCATCTGGTTAAAACGAAAGGAGGGGTGGAGTATAAAAGTGGAAAAAATAGCAGGAAATGGTATATGACTAAGAGTGAGTAAAATGCCTTCCAAATATCCGGTCAGGAAACTGGAAACAGGAAACAGGACCTACCGAGCGAGATTTGGTGGAAAAAGTAGAAATGGGAAGTGAACCAACAATTAAGAGAAAACCGGCAAAGCTTTTTTCCTTCGCTTCCTGAATCAAAGCTCCCTCGTTTCCTCTCAGTTTTACAACAGTATATCATCTAGGAGTGTATTTATATTTAAAGTCATGTAATCTCGATTCACTTTCCTTCTAACCAATGTATAAATGAAACCACCGTCACTCTCAAAATGTCAGTGAATCGGCCAACTAACCGAGAGAGGTTGTTGCTGCTGCTCCAATTGGCTTCACTTCCTGTTTCACGTGCTGTTTTGTAGAAGAAGCTAACCGTGGATAATCCATCGGTGATGCTTAATCAACAGGTAGTGATATCGTTGGATAATTTTGATAGCCTAGCGACAGCAACTCACTAGTTAAAGATTAATGAAAATAGTGGTAATAGACGGAAATATCCCTTCCCTGTTTTTGATCAAATGATTCAAGAGCAAGCTGAACTCTCGAGTACTTCAAGCATCCTGAGCACTCAGAATGTTACTGCCAAAGCAAATGCCCACCTACCGTACTTCTTCCTCAGGCGCTTCCATAGCAACACTTCATTGCTTGATTTGATGCACACACAGACACAGACACAGACACGCACACACATACACACTTATGTACATATAACGGTATAAACACATGGAGTATAAGTTTCATTCACTTACATTTACTCACCCAGAAATGCTTTTTCTGCTTTTTGCCGGTCATTTTAGTAATCGTATGTATTTGTACTTTAAACTGCCTCTTTCCTACTGTCGCAGACTCGCATTAAATTCGGTTCTTAAACGAGCAACTGATTCTCGAATTCAACTGAACATATATCAAGTACTTCAAATTCAGCTGAATATATAAAGCATTTTATTTCATGCAAATATGACTTCATGCGTTCTCTTAGGTCTAACTTTTCCGAAAATCTATTTGGGGGCATATTCAGTTATTCAACTCAGCTACAAATGGGTTCCCATTGCAGACCAACAGATGAATTTTGTTTTCTCTCCCTAGAATACTGCAGAATTTGCCGTTTTGCCGATCATACAAAGTACCTGACATAAGATTTAAAGCCATATCCTTACCAGAACAAACCCACTCCATTTTATTTTCAACAGCACATAAGTTCCGACATCACTTTCTTCACTGATCAATAAAAATTACTGTACTCTTCCTAGGCAGAGCCAAAAGTATGATTTGGGATCATAACGCATGAGCAATATTTCAAAACAAGGAAAATCAGATACACTGATGACATGAACTTTTAATCCCCCAGCTCCGTTACTTAATCGAAGCATTTTGGTATGCATTATTTATTCAAACTCATTGCACAAATCCCATCCCTATATATAATCCAATTTTGGAATACGCCAGACCATTTAATGCGTAATTTAACGCCAGACCATTTAATGCGTAATTTCATCGAAAAATATGAGTGGAAAACAAATGCAAATACACTGAATCAGTATGGAATTTCATCGCATTCCGTAAAAAGCGAAAACAAAACCTCCTCAGCCTTAAATTTTAAATACAGTTAATGTACATTGTTCAAAATTAGCTGCAATAATAAGAGATTTTGACCATACGCAAATTTATTGAAATTTATTTTCCGAAACCTCTATAATTAAAAAACTAAAAAAGGACTGCTGAATTCAAGAAAAACTGCAAACTTGTCTGTCTTTAACCTAAAAGTGTGCTTTTGTGTCTTCATACGAAATTTAGGTAGAAATACCGAAGTTTATAGCTTTCGAGCAATGAAATGTCAGCAATGGATTGAAAACTAGACTATGGCAAAACTTAACCTTGATGAGAATACACAAAGATGTTATAACGATAGAATAGAATTTGATTAAATCATTGCATTTCAAACAGAATCATAACAGAGACTAGAGAAATTAAATGAAAATTTATTTAGCTAGTTGAAATACAAATACACCTGCACCTCATTAGATGATAACTTATAACGGTTATATAAATTAACGCTGTTTATGATAGTCAGAAGGAAAAAAAAAAACTCGAAAATCACAAAACACAAATCCAGAAGGTACCAAGTATCCTCTGAATAAGAATCCAAATTTGAGCCTATAGAAATTTCTGAAATGGCGATGGGGAGTTAGAGTCCCATCGGATATAAAAATTTAAGAATGTAAAATCAAAGACATTAGCGACATTTAATCCTTTTTTTGAAAATGTCACCAACTGTTCAATTGTCGGTATTGCAATCGAAATCATAACTACCATAACGTGGTGGCCGTTATTCTGCAAACTATTCAAAAACAAAACCTAATTCCAAGATGCAGGAGACATCTTAATTATGCCAAACGCTTCTTTAACTCGTTGCAAACAAATCTTGGCACCTTCACGACATTCAGGCGATACAAGTGTAAAATTGAGAAAACCATGTGGAAGATTATCGAGAAGATCAACAGCCATTACTCTGCCACCAGCACCTCGCATTTTCTTAGCGAATGTGATCGTATCATCCAAAAGTGGATCCAGATGGCACGCCTGCATTAAATTCGCTAAGTAAGCATATGTAAAAGTATTCTAAAAAATTTTTGAAAGCCCCTATAATTTCATGGCAAAAGGACACTTTAAAACATACCACAAACCAAGCTGGGGGCAATCGTGCGAGATCCTCTGGTGACGCATATATTGGAGATATGAGTGGATCTCTCGGGACCTTTTTGTCTATTATATCAGCAATATATGATTTATTGCAGTTATTTTTAGTTTCCTGAAATGACTTCAAATTACTTCCAAATTTATCATGCTTCTTTTAAAAAGCAATTCTAATCATAACTAAATCTGCAAAAACATACAGTAAACAAACTTACCTTCTTTTCCATCTCTGACGCCATATTGGGAGTCAAAGAAGCAGCTCGATTAAGTTTAGGCTTATCCAATAAGGGTATCGGTGATGACTTTTCGAGCCAATCAGAAATATTATCTAAAGCATGTCCAGCAGCCATGGCGGCTGCGCCGGCAAGACTCTGACTGAGAGTTCGCTTATGTGCCTAAAAACTTTTAAGAAAATATTTTACAAAAAGATATAAACATCGGCAAAGATTTCATTAGATAAAATATAAAAATTGTTTCAAATTTTGAGTCAATTATAAGTGTATCCTTTACCACTATCGCCAGAAAAATAAAATTAGAAACATACCAACGATTCATTTTTGGTTGCGATCTTGTGAGAACTCAATGAAGTAAGCATAAATCTGGATCGCGTGGGACTTTTGACTGGTGCAACTGTTTGCGGGGGTAACTCTTTCGGAATTGTTGTCGATGGTGAACAAAGCAACGCCGCAAACTTTGAAACACGAGAAAATTGTTTATTTCCTTCCATATTCATTATTTCTTCTTTCTCTTCCCGAGATTTTCTACAACCGGCATGGTCGACGAAAATCAAAGCGCTAAATAATCGATATTTTTCAAAGCAACCCCCAAGAGTAATCACAACAGAAAAAATTCTATTTAGAGGGCTAAAATTTAAAAAAGTTATTGTTTGAGTAAATCACAAAGTAAACTCAAATTAAACAGAAGACACTTATTTCTCGGTTAAAAATGCAACATAACAAAGTTCAAGAATACGCGTACTCCTTGGTGAGTGGGTGAATTTTTAAATAGTCTACCAGCCGTCGATCATACATATTTAACGAAAGATGAATATGAAGCGGATCTGATTTTATCTGGAATTAGTTATCAAAAACAAATTTAGATAAAATCCAGTTTATGTGATTTTTTTATTACTCATAATCAGCTAATAGTGACGCAACTAAAAGTCATACAATATAGTGGAAGGATGCAAGATTCTTAATCATTCCACGGAATCCAGCCAATAGTTAAGTTGTCAGTAATCGGACGGACTATCCTTAGCGGACAAACAGAGTTATAACTCTTCAGTTTATCTGAAATTCAGGAATATTTTTCGGTCTTCGAAAACCCCTGTTACTAGTTTCCACAATAAAGTATAAAGGCCGATTTTTTGGAACATATCTTACTACACAATCACGAAGTAAAGCACCTGGATACCAGAGAGACAGGTATCATCTCCATCTTCATCCTCCTCGCTAATATTGGTATCATCGCTGAATCCGTGTTCATCAGCTTTTGAAATTGCCGACATATTTTGTGTTTCCGCTGTGGATGGGACATCAGCTAAATTCACCAAAGAGACAATCGATGAAGAGCCCTACAATGTTATTTATGATGCTAACTCAACTTTCAAATATAAGTAATAAAAATGTAAAAACCGTCTGAAAATACTCAAAAGTTTAAAGAATCGGGTCAAAATAAATTACCTCCAAACCTACTGCATCGCTTCTCTGCATTTTTTGTACTTGTTTCACATATTCTTGTAAGCTTTTGTGGCCACCTTTGTCAATATCTTTCTGTTGTGATCTGTCACCATTTGCTGTGTGATTTATCGGCTTTCCAGTATAAGCTAAAGAAACGTTTTATAATACCAACGAATTGATCACTAAATGTAAGTAGTAAACGAGGACATAATTAATAGCCAGTAATAAATCCATCTCACAGAAATAATTTGAAAAACATACCAGCAATACACCGCAACACGACTCCCATGTGTAAAAGAGGATCCATACAACTTAGCAACCGTGAAGGTGATGGAAGGTACTGAAATACAGAAATATTGATTATGGACAACAAAAGAACAAATAGATTACACTTGGAAGTTTCGAGAAATTTAAAAACAGCTCTCTAACCATGTTAGAGAATAAACTACAAAAACTCGTAAGCAGTAGATAAAAACATTCAGAGATCTCAGGGAGAGTTACCGACTTGAAATTGAACTTCTCATTTGAATTTGACACGTTCCATTTCTTCTGGTTTCAAGAAATGACTAATTTTGGTAAAAAACAAGCAGGTAGAAACCCACTGTCAAAGTACAAGGTATTGATTTCAGTAAGTGACCTGGAAAAGAAATGGTGAATAAACGGTAATAATTCCATCCGGTATCCTCTTCACATCAAGTTGAACAAGCTTCAAGCTCACCGACATTATCAAATTACCGCCCGCTGAGTCGCCGATCATGCATATTTTTTCACCCGTCCAACCTACAAAATAGTTATGCAATAAAGCAAGAGAATAAACTCCCAAAATTCGAAAGTAGTAGACACAAACCGAGTTGTGCTGCATTATTGATAATATATGCATATGCATACAATACTTCTTCTGTAGGACGAGGAAATGGATTTTCTGGTGCCAGTGAATACTCGACAGATACAATAGAACAATTCAGTAATTTAGCCCACACTCGCAAATAAGTCTGGAAATGAGACATGCAAAAATTAGTTTAACATAAAAGCGCTTAGGATATCTCTAATAAGAAAGTTCATTACTTCATGAGATTTGGAGGTAGTTGCGACATAACCACCACCGTGACAATGAAGTAATAAATACGGCGATGGTGGGAGCTGATTCTGCGACCCAGCAGGACTCTGAAAATGAAACTATACTAGTTGGCAGCTATAATTTTGATTTTTTTTCCAATTTTCTTAAAGTTTCAATTCAAAAAATTTGACTTTTCAAGAAACTTACAAGAACTTGTCGGTGACAATACGATAAAACACGAATTTTGACTGGCCGAGGACCAGTGTACGAAGACGGTTCTGGAATTTTCACAGTACCACCACTCGTCGTTGCCATTGTTATTGACCCTACCCAACCGATTTCACGCAACTCATTTATTGCCATATTTGGACAAAATATACGAGGAACCTGCTGTAAATAATATCATCGAAATAGAGAGGGAAAACGTAAAATAATTACTAGAAAAAGAACGATGGAGGAAATCATCCTCTTCAGTGAAACGAAAGAGAGAACTTACACTACCAAATTCTGACAAATTCCAGAAACCTCTACAAAATTCAATGTCGGCTTCACGAGTTACCTGAAAGAAAAGCCACGATCATGTACTGAATAAGCTTGAAAAACGAAAAAGTAATACAGCAGAACAAATAACTATGAATTCAATAGTAAAACCTTAACAATTCGTTTAGCTCTTTGTTCCGGACTTAAGATGAACCGAGGTGAATTGAGAAAAGATCCCAAAGTACTGCGTCCTTTTTCCCATGACAAACTGTATATAGCAAGTATTACACCAAATAAGCGAAATATACGCCCAATTGATGGCGGAAACTGCAAATAGAGACTTTATGACAAGGATCAAATTCTAAGAAATTTATAAAACCTCAAAATAAACCTCGACTTCGACTTTTTGCAACGTAAGACTAAACACATTTTTCTCATAAACCTAACTGGTAGACAGATAATTGCAAACACTCACCTGAAAGCCCAGCGGTCTTCCATAAAAGCATGATGGATCAAGCACTTCTATGCCACCTAGCATTGCTTGGTACTTGGTGTAGTCTCCATTAAGATCAGGAAACAAACAATTATCGGGGGCGTATACAGCTGCATCAATGACCTGTAGGTAGAATGATTTAGGTAAGGTCTAAAAAACTTAAATGTATATCAGAGGTTAATCCCAATAATCGACATTAAAATCACTAATAAATAGTAAATGAACAGACTGTTGATGACATAGCGATATGTGCAGCAATTTGAAAAAGAAAACAAACCATTCGTAAGGCTGAAATGAGAAAATTCAGAACAGCACAGTAACTTTCAACTTCTTTACAGTAATACGATGCGCGAAACATCATCGTCTGTCGATGTTCAATACAGGAACGCAAAACGGAGATAAGGTGCAGCACAATCGTGTCACATACACAAACTAGAGATCTATAAAGTTCACCGATTTTCGTAAAAGTTGGGATAAAAATAAAAGCTGCAGATCTCATACTGGTGAAACAAACCGAAATCCATTTCCTGGAGTAAGCTTGTCATAGTCATATCGAGGTGCCATGTCCTGCAGTTTTTTCACAACGTCTGCAAATTATAAAACTTCAATATTTGACATATAAAACGATAAAGAAAGCATATGTAAGAATGCATATACCATCCGTTAAAAAAAAAAATACCTTCCAAAGGTAGGGCAAGAGATGAAATTGTATGGCAATTTTTCTCTAATCTGCTTGCATACGTTGTCCAACTTGTGGTATTTTTGAAAAATCCTCTGTTATCATCGGCTAACTAAAATTTCTACATTCTAGAAAAGACGCTGCTTGACTTTAAACAAAATATCAACAGGAAAACAATCTGCGATAAGTAACACTTTAAGTTTTTCGATATACTTCGTGAAATTTTGGATGCTCTCTTCTCCCTCAAAATCAGGGAAAAAGAGAATTTTATTATGATGAACATTTATGCTTCAGTTATATTGAAAACCAGCATTTTTTTACCTCAGCTAACAGTGCGAATACGGCTGACCGCCGAACGGAGAGCTTGCCATTTAAGGGAGCTTTGTAAATCGTTCCTACGCCATCGGGGTGGTTATCAATCACATTATTTTTTAGTATATTCATCATTTGCAGCCCATTATGCCTAAATGAACAACTTAATATGAACACATTTTATTATTAACAAGCACATTAACAAGTAACGATGTGTGAATGAAATGAATTCTATTTCAAAATCAAATTTCTCTTCCTTTTCAGTTTTTGGTCTCTTCAATACATTATCTTTCAGTTTTCTTTCAAATATTCATTTATGTCCCAAAAGCCCAACTGATGGAAAAAATAAGCGAATTTTCTGGATGATCAACTAGTGTTTATGCTATGGAATATGCTCATATAGAACTCTTAAGTTAGCCGCTTCCGATCAAAACATTTAACCAAACCACGCAAAAGATATAATTTAATGAGAAATCAACATAAAACTAAATATATGTAAAGCATCCTCTTGAAAAGTCACAGAGAAACTAAGTGTTGAAATTTTGTTTATAGCCTGAACATGCGATCCCTAATTAACAGGCAAGCTGTAAAGTGAAATAAGATTTCTCACCCCACAGCAACATATAAACCTCGCATCCCCTCACCTTTGCTCTCACATCACACTCAAACGATTATTTTTTCGGCTTTTGCGTAAGGATAGAGAGGATACTGAGATGGATAGCATGAACCCTTCACTTCGAGCATTATTTCTAGACAATGAAAATATACTAGAGAATCTAAGTAAGACTCTTTAGTACTCATTTAATTCTAGTACAACAAAGCTCTCCTGCAAAGTATGGTAACTTCCTCTTCCCTCTCGATAAGAACTTCACACCTTCCTTTCGTTCCTGATCCACTTTACAAACACGACCAACCGCAAAACACGCGTCAATGCATGACCGTATGATAAACTGAGATACGGTGGTTGAAAGGAGTACGGTAGTAGTTCTATCGATTGGCGCTGCAATCGCGGCAGTTAAATTGTTTGGAACGTTAACTTTTCATATTGATTATACTCCTCGTCCAAAGGTAGAATACAAGACTTGAAAACAGGAGAGTTCTGATATATGCGTAATTCGGGATGTTCCAAATCCTGTTCAAATGTTACTTTAACATTTTTCGGAGAATTTTCAGATAAAACGGATAACAGTGATTTATTAATAATGTATAATAAGGATGTTTTGATATCAACTTCAAAAAATTACTCTTGTCTTTTTAACAAAGTTTAGATTAGAACGGGAAAAAATTAAATTGATTTTGTGGGAAGGAGGGGGCGAAAGGTAATAAGTCGAAATTTATACACTGTATGCTTTTTCACTGAAAACTCATTTCTTCAAGAAAATATATGTAATGTAGAGTATAATGCACTTGTAATCGCATTCGTAGAATGCGTTGCGTGAATTCTGTATGTTTTTATCCAGCCATCCATCATTTGAAGTATCTTTTAGTTCGGAAATTGTAAGAAAGTTTATCGTGCTACAAAAAAACAAAAGTGGAGTAATGGAGCATTTCTGATGGGTATGTTGTGCTTGCTTCGTGCATTTCCTTCATAACATGTATGTATCATGAATTTTTTTTATGCATAATTGTATTTTACAGTGCACATTAAATCGAAAGTAGGAACGGAGATTAATCAGTTGTTGAAGTGTAGTGGGGCTGATAATCAATATTTGCATTTACTTGTCGAATCAACAAGCTTCTTATAAATTGGTAAATGTTTCGATCCATTTTTTGTTTCAGGATTCCGTAGATAATGCGCGGACTTTGTCGCCACTTGTAGATTTCTCATGGTGATGTCCTTCTGAATATTTTAAATACTGACTTTAATTTTTCTAATTTTTTTGTTGGAATTGGAACGCTTCTAGTGTATGGCTTCGTTTTGCAGGGGTGCAACAGCATGGTTGTTTGGGGCTTATCGAATATCACGGACGCCTTACAAAAGCGTTTGTGTCGCTTTCTTATACATAGATATTTGAGCGATTTTCTGAAGTCTAGCATCAATCTGGAACAATTATCAGCCACACTTTATGGTGGTATTGCATCTGTTAGCGATGTTGACATGGATGTGCAGGTATCATTTTTCAAATTTTGGAGTAATGTTGTTAATTGCTAAGGATAATGCAGGCAATTCACACGACGAATTGTTGTGAAATGTGGATGTCGAAGGAGAAGACGATATTTAAGTCCTTTTCAAATATGACAGCTAAGTCTTTACTCAATTTAACATGTAACATGATATGTTGGGAAGTTATCTAATCGATGTTTAAATGAAAAGAATAAATCAGCTAGAAATTTTATTTCTTTAGAGATTAAATGATGTGTTTGAATCGATGAAAATACCATTTACGGTGGTTGAGGGGTACATTGGCGAAGTCAGTATCACAGTTCCATGGCAGTATATCCTTGTAAAATCCGTTGATTTGGAAATAAAACAATTGCAGCTCACACTTCAGCTTCAGCATTGCGCAGATGACTCACCAGGAGATATAGGTCAAAAATCACATCCTTGATTTTTCCATCTTCCTTGAAGTTCAAGGTGTATTATTTATATTTTACTAAACTGTAAGGTAATTATTTACGTATTTTCAGTGGCTTCTATGTTTGGAAGTGTTATGGGGTCATTAGCAACGTCTATGGAACTAGCGCAGAGTTTTCTGAATCAGGAAGAAACCACCAATGAAGCAGAGGACAAAGGCATCGAACAGTTTGCTGAGGTATGAACTTTCTTCATTTGAGCCTTGTAGATTCATTTCCTTATTTTATTCTTATCAGATACATGAAATTTAGGTCATTGATGCCGTTATATCACGTTTTCGGCTAATTTTCAACGACGCTATTATTCGCTTAGAAGGTATTCCTGATCCGGAATCTGGGTTATACACTGCCTTGGAACTGCGAATTGATTGGTGTGTTGTCATCTAGCATTATTTTCAGTTGATGAACATGAATTATACACAAAATTTTCGCATTTGGAGAATTTTTCAAGTATTCTTTTGTTGATGAAAATGCATTTTCTAAGGATAGTTTTTTTCTTTATTTTGAAATCAAGTTTAAACAAAGGACGAGCTATTGTATCTCGAAATTTCATGTAGGATTGAACTCGTCGACGAACAGTTAGAGTCGGCAGCTTTCAATACTGAAACAGTAACTTCACAACCACGTTCGTTATCGGCTGTTCCAGATTTCAATAAACTTTTTCATGTAAAAGGCATACGTCTATATACTGATATTTTCACCAAGTAAGTTATGTATGAATGTTCATGTTTTGATGGAAAAATATGTAAGATGATTGGGGAATCATATTCACCCATGTCATGAGCGATATATTATTGCAAGCCGTTGTCATCTTTTTCATTTAGACCAGGGATGAGAGATCTACCTGAAGAAAATATGTCTGCATCAACGCAGGTCATAACAAGTATGTATCTGCGGCGTGAAAAAGAGAAAACAATGAAGGTTGGTAGATCTTTATCATGTTTAATGATTTTGCTTTCATTAGCTTTATTGAGGATTATTATGAATATTCCGTTAAACGTAGTTTTCATGATAAATCTTCATTTCAATTTCCAGAGTTTACAAATTACTTTTGGTTCCAGAAACTGTCGGCTTCGGATTCATCAGATGAACACTGTGAAAAAAACGGCGGTGTGTTATGTTCCATACAAATGTCGACAGCTTCAACGATTTATGAGTCATGTTATTCACGTAACAGCTGTATGGAAGATGATTTCCCTTCTACTACTTCCTCTCCACTAAGTTCTTCCGCGAGCACTACGTATGTTTTGGTCATTCCTTTTATGTTTTGATTATTTCGTTTCAAATATAAGAATCGATATTCCAGGTTGGAGTCGAATCCAGTTCTTTTTGCATCATTTAATGGTAACGTTGAAACAGTTATTGTTCGAGTACGTAACAACGAGATCTCATCGCAGTATGCTTTGTCTTCTGAAAAGGTTGACCTTCTTATTTTCCTGTTGATATTTTGAACTTAATTTCGAATTCATTTTTACTTTGTTAACACTAACTTATTTTTTTAATTTTCTTCCAGGAAATTAGTCTTAATTTTGATGGTTTGTGTGTGTTTTTGACATCTTCACAGCTGAACATTTTGAAAACATTTTTTTCCGCGATTGCAAGGCCTCCTCCAAATTCTGGTTTGTTTAAACATCCTGTACCAGCCTTCTACTTTCATTTGTTTGATGACTTTGTATCTTCGAAAGCTTATTGGATCTCGTTTTAGGTGGTGCACAATGCAGTTTAGGAAAACCAATGTGTATGCAAGATTATCAACAGGTTGAAGCCGAGTTGCAGACAAGAATTGTACCATCAAGCCAAATCGGCACCGACTTTCAGCATGGTAAACCTTATTACTAGCAACCTTTCTTAAGCATTAACTTTTAATTTGGTTTTCTCTTTCTGTAGAACTTTGATTTTAAGGCGATAACTGCATTCTGTTCCGCGTGCACTTCTTATATGGTTTCACAGGATTTAATAGCTCCTGCCACTACATTTTTTTGATAGAACTCAGAAATCATTGTGTTGTTTAGGCAACTGGGGTGGTTCAATGATGTTTTATGATGCACAGAGGAAACCTTCAACAGCACCGGTTGATGAGCAAATGGCTAATGTTTCGTTAAATCTCAGTGATGTAGGGGATGGTCGAAGTGGCAGATTTTCAAAGGAAATTTTAAGAAGCGACTGTTCGCAAAGTTGGTTTTATCTTGGAGGTGCCATAGAAGACTAGCAAAGGATGAAATTTATCTGCGAACTAGTATTAATTTCAAAAAAGACGATAATATTTCATATTGCAGAAACTTTGAAAAACTCGGATACTGTATCAGACGTAATCAGTGTTAAAGCAAGCATTTGCAATGTTGTTGTTGTTCTAACCCATAAAGACCATCTCGGACAAGATGAAGTTCGAAACAGGTTTGATGTTAATTTTCGAGTTCTGCTTGATTTTGCTTAACGAAAAATTCTGTTGTAGTGAACGCTTGTAATAAGTTGATTTTAGAGGCGCCGAAAACATCACTGATATGATCAGTGCATATAAGGAATTGGCAGAAGGGTTCTTTAAGGCGGCATCTTCTTTGCGGTTCGGCATTCAATTGAATGAATTAAGTCGGAGTACGAAACATCTGTATCGAGACGATCATCTACAGTAATTTCCTTTTAATTCTTCTCATATATTTTTTTTTATTCCAATCTCTTGTCTCTTTAGGTTCATTGGTGAAGGAGTCGCATTTGATTATAATCAAGTAAAAGGTCGGGAGAATTACTCCTTTTCAATGAGTTTAGAAGCGCTTGATGTGGAATTATTAGAAGTTCTGTCGCCGGCATCGTCCAGCACGGTATTATTTATCCCGTAATTTTTTTCGGATAGCATTTGCAGATGCAGTAAATTTTTTTTTTTAATTTCATTTTAAAGGACGCCGAAGAAACTATCAAACTGTTTTCGTTTTGTGATAATGCATCAACAACTGAAAAAAGCCGTCGACTAATGGTTACTGTGGAAAATGGCAAAAATTCACAGGTCTTCATTACAAAAGGATATTGATTTCTTACTTTTTAGTTAAATTACTTTGTCCGAAACTGTATATAAAATGCATACATGTTTTCTCTGGAAATTTGTGGGTCCAAACTATTGTTTGTCATGTAACAATTTCAGCATTACGATGTGACGGTAAATATGGCAACTTGTGAAAGTGAATTGGACATTTCGATAATTGATCGGATATCTTCTCTTTTGATCACGAAACCTTTTCATACTTATCCATTTCCTTCAATTCACAATGTTAACGACTTATCACGAGGCTTGAAGTAAATTTTGCATATGTTGTGTGTTGGATTTTTCCGCAAATATTACTTTTAAGTTTTAGTGTGATTGATGATTTTCCAGAACAGACTTGCTTTTTACCGCTATGCAAGATGCAAACAACACACCATTATCACTATCACTTATTATTGGTTGCTCAGAATTGGACTTAAATTTGAGGTTCAGCCTTTTTCATTTAATTTATGCGATAGTACATAAAAATGCAACAAACTTTTCATCGTTACTTTTTCTAAATTTTGACTTATTGTTAATGATAGTGGTCTTTATTTCTTAGGATACCAGTAGTAGATTTGCGACGTTTTGAATCTTCTCCAACTCGAGTACCCCACTGGAAAAGAAATTTGCACAAGGAGTCAATAAGGTTGACTTTAATGGATGTTAGGCTAGAGATGCCAAAATTTGATGTGTCGCACTTAAGGCAATATGGAACAGTTATCATTTCGGCTTCTGCTGTAAACGGTATTTCTCTATCCTTCATATGAGTGATTCCTGGCCCTTCAGGGATAGGAGGCAAATCTATTAGAGATTACTGGCATTGGGATTATTTGGAAAACAAAATTTTATCAGCAGTTTTTATCTTTTATAAATTGATGCAAATTAATACAGGGGCTCCCTGAAAGTACGTAGTTTTTTCTTACTGTTGGCAATGAATGACTGTTGGATTTTTATTTTTAATTGCAAGTTTTAGGGTCCTTCAATCTTGTCGAAAAAACTGGCTTGGCGAGTCTCGACTCTCTCATTCTTTTTGCTGGCTGTTCAGAAACATGTGGTGGAGGTTGTGTCAGGTATTGTCGTGAAAATTTTTGATTCGAATATTTTTGCTTCTCAGACGAAAATTTGTTCATTCTTTGTGGAAGATGAGTTTTATTCTTCGTGATGGATAGAGCTGGATCACTATTTGGTAGTATTGAAGACCGTTCATAATACTGGTATTGCCAACATTATTACTGGTA